TTCACACAGCAAATATTTACTGAGCACCTTCTATGTGCCAGGCACTGTTCTAGGTGCTCAGGATACAACTACGAACATCCTATTGGAGGAGTCAGGGGAGAGAGAGAAATTTTAGGAATAGAGATAGATGGATAAATAAATAACAAGTACGGTAAGAAAGAATGATAGGAAGCCTGGCAGGAAGGTGAAAAGTTATTTTCAATGGAATGTAAGGAAGTGACATTTGAGCAAAGACTTGAAGGAAGGGAGAGGACAAGCATGCAAATACCTGAGGGGGAGGGGCGCAGGGAGGGAAGGTTCCGGTGGAGAGAACAGTAATTGTCAAGGAATGCCAAGTTTCCTGAGGACGAAGGGGCCTGGGGTATTCGGGCTGTGGTGCTGAGGAAGCCTGGAGGAACGCAGCGGAACCCACAGACCGGGCAGGAGGCCCCCGGCAGTGGTCCGGGCAGGAGGCCGTGGTGGCCTCGGTCAAGGCAGTGGAGGTGAGGGGCTGAGCAGTGGTTGATTCTGGATCTATTTTTGACCTTAGGATGACTCCACATATTTGGAGCAGACCACTGGAGGGGTGGACTTGCCATTGACTGAGACGCATCAGACTGTAGGAGGTACAGTTTGCAGTTTGGAATTGGTCCTGTTTTAAGCTTCCGATGCTTTACATACCAGAGGAAGGTGGTCCACGCTATCTGTTTCCTGCTTGTGGGCCTATAGTTTGATAAATGCTTTTTTGCGAGGCATTTGAAATCCTGTGAGAGAGTCCTTATTTTTCCTATTATTCTATAAAATTGGTATCAACTATTCAGCTTCTATAATTATTCCGCAAGGCTTTAACCTAGCGTTGCATTACAGCTGTTCACTTTGAAAGCCGGTCACATTGATGAAGCTTTTTTTACTCAGCAATGATCTGGCATCTCTCTCTGTTTGTTCACATCCTCCTTTAGTTTTCCTGCTACGGTTTAATAATACTCTTGGAATAAATCTCATGGCTCAAAGAAAATCCTCAAGTAAATTTATTGTTGGTTTGTGGTTATAAATGGAATCTTTCTCTATTTTTATTTTATGTTTTTATTAACATAACCCTATTTCACTGACAGAAATGCAATTATGCGATGTGGGTTTCTTTTGGCTACATCTCTGCTGAATTCATTTATTATTTCTAGTAATTTCGGGGCTGCTTTTCTTGGAATGTTCAGGTATATAATCATGTCAACTACCAAAAAGTAGTAATTTTTTAATTCCTATATTTATAGCTATTACCAGCATTTCCAATGCCATGTTGAAAAGAATGGTGCTGGATGAGCCTTCTGGTCTTAACTTTCAAGGCGAGGAACTCTTACATCTCCAGTAAATGTGCTGTCGGCTTTCCAGAATGAGTACCTGGCTCTTCTCATCAAAAGATAAAAATCTCGCCTGGCCGCCGTGGCTCAGTGGTTGAGCGACAACCTATGAACCAGGAGGTCATGGTTCAATTCCCAGTCAGGGCACGGGTCTGGGTTGCAGGCTCGATCCCCAGTGGGGAGCGTGTAGGAGGCAGCCGATCAATGATTCTCTCTCATCATTGTTTCTATCTCTCTCTCCCTTTTCCTTCCTCTCTGAAATCAATGAAAACATACTTTTTAAAAATGTCTCAGCATTTTAAACAGCTAAACTTGTGCTGGACTGAATGGGCTACGTTGGGCGTGGGGAGCTGTTACCAGCGGTTTTCAGAAAGCCGCCTGGCTCCTGACAGGAATAGAGAATTTCACTGGTTTGCATCTCCCGGGGGGCGGGCGCACACCAGATGTTTGCCTTAGCATACCATACATTCCCAAGGCATGCACCCCGGGCCCAGGGGGCGGGAGCGGGGGCTCTCTCCCCAGGCGCAGCTGCCTGCAGTCCCTCTGACCCCTTGCCAAGTGCACAGGCTCATCTGGTCAGAGACTTCTCTTGGGCATCACAGGCCTTGGAACCGGAGTCCGAATTCCTGTGCACGGTCTGCCATTGTCGCAGGGGCCTTCTCTCCTCCGGCCAGATGGCCTCACCTGTACTCGGACCTCACAGTCCCCAGCAAGTTGCAGAGCATTTGGCAGGTGCTCGGGAAATATTGTCTCCTGAACAGAGGGGCTCACTGACCAGGAGTTGAGCAATGTTGAGCAATGTCACCTCCTGGCAGCACTATTATGTGGCATCCGTCTTCGGGAGCGGGGAGGGGCCTGAGGAGCCGGGTGACTTCTTTAAAACCTCTCCGTGTGTACATACGTCTCCCCCACCGAGAGCCTGCTGCAAACACACCTAACCTGCCCGCGTGTCTCCCCCGCAGGACGGGTATGCGGCAGGCATAAGAACTGGCTTCTGGGGTGGGGGCGCGGGGAGCTTTTCCAGAGGACATCTCTTTACTCAGCAAATATTTACCGCGCAGAGGGAGGGGGAAGGGCATTCCAGGGAGAGAGAGCAGTTTAAACAAAGCTAAAGAGGAAGGAAACCCAGAGATGTGTGCCTGTGAGTAGTGGAATTCAGGAGCTAAAATCTGGAAGATAACAGGAAACCCATCAAGAAGTCGTTGGATTCTCAGCAAAGGAGTTCGGGCTTATTTCTGCAGGCAAGAGGGAGTCAAAGAAAGATTCTGAGCACGAGATAGACATCATCAAAACTGCTGCTTAGGAAAACTAATTTGACAGGCAGCGGTGCCTAGCATGGACGGAGACGAGGAACCATGGTATAAAGCAGCCGGCAGTGACGGAGCGCTTAGCACGCACCCAGCACCACCCAAGCCCTTTAGACACAGTGTCTCACTCAATGAGGGTAAGAGATGGTGCGTTTCAGACTAAGTGCCCGGCACGTGGCGTTTTCCAGTCCTCACAGTCGCTCTGTGAGCCGAGTATTATTATTGCCTCAATTTCGCAAATGAGGCCTGAGGTTCACAGGGATGAAATATGAAATGCCCGAAGTCAGATGGCGATAAGCGGCAGAGCCAGGATTTGCCTTAGCATAATTTTCCTTGTGAGAATCTAGGTGAGAGTTGCTGGAGCCAAAACTCAGCAAAAGCACTGTGTTGGTCTGATTCCTAAGGGAGGGAGATGCTAGGAAGCAATGGCAAATGTCCTGACAATTGGTAACGAAAGGGCGAGAAACAGGAGAGGAGGGACAGAGAAAATGGATGTACCACCGACTAATGGACACCTAATGGACATGACAGAGCAACAGACAGGCAGGCTGGGAGAGAGCCTGGTCCAAGATAGCTCGCGGGTCAGAGCATGGGCGGCCAACAGAAAGGGGGCATCGTAATGAAAAGCAAGAACATTGGATTGGGGAATATAAACAAGCCCGGCTGGTGTGGCTCAGGGGTTGAGCCAGGACCTATGAACCAGGAGGTCACGGTTCGATTCCCAGTCAGGGCACATGCGTGGGTTGCAGGCTTGATCCCCAGTGTGGGGCATGCAGGAGGCAGCCGATCAATGATCCTCTTTCATCATTGATGTTTCTGTCTCTCTTTCCCTTCCTCTCTGAGATCAATAGAAATATATTTTAAAAAAACAAACATAGGAGGCAAAGTAAGTTAAAGGGATTCAAATATGTTTAATTTGATGTGTGGATGGCATTGTCAAGTAGAGCTATCTTGCAAGCATACGGGAAAATCATCTTATTCCTTGCACTCTGTTCCTCATTTATAATTTCTCATTTTTTAAAATTACTTTAACATTTTTTATTGGCGTAAAATATGCATAATATAAAATGTGCCTTTTAACCATTTTTAAGAGTCTTACGGTTTTTCAATGAGCATCGAGTTGACTTCTGGTTTCCCTTCCAGCATATGTAAGGAGTGTGTAAATCATCACCGGATTCTAACAGCACGTAAGAAGCTAAACAAACTGAAAATTCAACAACCCTCCCCAGATTCAGCAGGAAAGCGGAGGTCACAGGGCAAAGTGCTGCCCTGGACATCGGAGAAACAGACGCACAGACACAGAGCCACAACTCACCGGAGCACAGAGACCTCCGTGGGAGCCAGCAGCAGCGGAGGGAAACCTGAACTCTAGTGGACAGGTTGCTGGGGCTCAGCGAGGGCGAGTCTGAGTTCCAGGGGATCCCAGCGCTTTTGCTGAGTTTTGGCTCCAGCGCTCTCACCTGGATTCTCACAGGGAAAATGCCCGCATGCTGCCAGCAGGGGGAGGCGGAATGGCCGTGTGAAATAGGCCGAACGGAGCGTGCTGCTCTTCGCCAGGCCTGTGTTCAGGAGAAGCTGTCTTCCCAGAGCCTCTGTTGGGGTTCTAGCAGAGCTTCGTCCATCTGGGGAAGGGGAACAGCCAACTCCAGCCCACTCTAGCCATCTCGTCCCACCTACGGGAGAGACAACGGAGAAGCACTCGTGGAGGTCACAGCCCAGGGACACAGACTCTCTAGAAGACGAAGACCTGATCATAGGCCTGTGGAGCACTCCCCCTCACACCTCACCACCACCCCAGTAACGGCCTGCTTACCAGGGTTCCTTTCCCCCCATATACCATGTCTGGCTTTCACCAACAATAACAAAAGCTTACAAGGCATACCGAAGGCAAAAATTACGGTCTGAAGAGACAGAACCAGATTCATGTATGGCAGGAAATGTTGGAATTCTCAGGCCAGGAATTTAAAACAACTGTGATTAATATGCTAAGGGTGCTAATGAATAAAGTAGACAACATGTAAGAACAGATGGGTACATAAGCAAAGATATGGAAAGTCTAAGAAGGAATGTTTTAAATGCTACAGGTCAAATGCACAGTAACAGGCATGCTCTTGATGGCTTGATTAGTAGACTGGACATGGCTGAGGAAAAATCTCTGAGATTGAGACTATGTCAATAGAAACTTGCAACATTAAAAATCAAAGAGAAGCTGAAACCGGTTTGGCTCAGTGGATAGAGCGTCGGCCTGCAGACTGAAAGGTCCCAGGTTCGATTCCGGTCAAGGGCATGTACCTGGGTTGCGGGCATATCCCCAGTAGGAGATGTGCAGGAGGCAGCTGATCGATGTTTCTCTCTCATGGATGTTTCTAACTCTCTATCTCTCTCCCTTTCTCTCTGTAAAAAATCAATAAAATATATTTTAAAAAAAAATCAAAGAGAAAAAAAGACTGGGGGGTGGAGAGAAGAACAGAATACCCAAGAACTGTGCGACAACTTTAAAAGGGCTACATTTGCATAATGTATGGAATACCAAATGAAGAAAAAGAGAAAAGAACAGAAGAAATATTTGAAGCAGTCATGACTGAGAACTTCCCCCAAATCAATGTCAAATGCCAAATCAAACCACTGATCTAGGAAGCTCAGAGAACACCAAGGAAGGTAAATGCCCAAAAACCCACACCTAAGCATATCCTATCCAAACTGCATAGAAATCAAAGATGCAAAAAATCTTGCAAGAAGCCAGAGGACAAAACACCCTGTCTATAGAAGATTAAAGGTAGGAATTAATTTGACTTCTCAGAAACCATGCAAGCAAGAAGACAGTGGAGTGAAATATTTGAAGTGTGGAGAGAAAAACCCACCTCGAGTTCTGTACCTTGTGAAATGATCCTTCAAAAGTGAAGAAGGAAAAAAGACTTTCTCAGACAAACAAAAATTGAGGATATTTGTTGCAAGTAGATCTGGCTTGCAAGAAATGTTAAAAGAAGTTCTTCAGAGCGAAGTCAAATCTACATTTTAAAAAAGGGAGGGCATTGGAGAAGGAATAAGTAAAGGTAAAATTAAAACCTGTCTTCTCCTAATTGATCTAGCAGATAACAGTTTGTTCAAAAATAATAGCAACAATGTATTTGATTATGTAAAAATATGTAATGCATCCACCTATAATATATATACACACACACATATGTTTATGTATAAGTGAAGTGAGTGGCAGTAAAAATACAACGACCAAGAGGGAGAAATTGGGAATATTTTGTTATTATCGGATACTTCCACTACTTCTTCAGTGTTCAGTGTTATTTGAAAGTGGACTTGGATTAGTTGTAAATGTGTATTGCAAATCCCAGGGCAACCACTATAAAAAGTTAAAAAAAGTATCATTGATATGCTAAGAAAGGAGAAAAAAAATGAAATCATATAAAACACTCAATTAAAATCACAACAGCCACCCCTGGCCAGTGTGACTCAGTCAGTAGGAGCGTTGTCCCGTACACCGAAAGGTCCCAGGTCATCAGCTGCCTCCTGCACTCCCTACAGGGGATCAAACCCAAAACTAGGGCTTATGTCCTGACAGGGAATTGAGCCATCAACCATTCCATGCACTAGTGATGAGGCCCAATGAACTGAGCCACACTGGCCAGGGCCGAGTTCTTTCTATATTCCTGACACAAATCCTTTGTTGAACGTATGATTTGCCAATGTTTCTCCCAGCCTACACCTTATCTCTTCATTCTTCTTGTTTCCTTTACAGCAAAAGTTTTTAACTTTTTTGAAGGACAATGTATCCCTATTTTTCTTTAATGGATCATGCTTTTTTGGTCAAATCTTAGAGCTCTTTGCCTAACCTAGATCATTAAGATTTTCTTCTCTATTTTTCTCTAAAAGTTTTGTAGTTTTATGGTTTTATAAAATATATATTTTTATTGATTTCAGAGAGGGAGAGAGAGATAGAAACATCAATGATGAGAGAGAATCATTGATCGGCTGCCTCCTGCGTGACTCCTACTAGGGGTTGAGCCCACAACCTGGTCATGTGCCCTGACCGGGAATCAAACTGTGACTTGTGACCTCCTGGTTCATAGGTCGATGCTCAACCACTGAACCATGCAGGTTAGGCTGTAGTTTTTAATCCATGGTCTATTCTGAGTTAACTTTTGTATAAGATATGAGGTTTGTTTTTTTTGCATTTGGATACGCAACTGTTCCAACACAATTTGTTGGGGTAGGGGGAAATACTATCCCTTTCGGCAATGAATTGCCTTGAATAAATATCAATTGGCCATATTTGTGTGTGTCTATTTTTGTTTCACTGATCTACGTGTCTCTCTTGTTGCCAATACCACACCATTTTAATTACTGTAGCTAATTTTAGTAAGTCTTATAATCAGGCAGTGTGATTCCTCCAACTTTGTGCTTCTTTTTCTTTTTGTGTGTGCCTCTTTTTCAAAAATTGTTTTAGCTATTCTAATTCCTTTGCCTTTCCGTATAAATTTTAGAATCAGTTTGTGTATTATCTACTAAAAATCTGTTAAAGTTTTTATTTGAATTGAGTTCAGTTTATCAGTTTGGAGAGAGTCAAGTCTATCCTCTATTGAGTTATGTAATCCATGAACATGGTATATTTCCTTTTATTTAGGAGCGTTCTCTCATCAGTGTTCTGTGGTTTTGATTTCTTTCATCAATGTTTTGTGCTTTTCAACATAGAATTTCTATATATGTTTTAGGAGATTTATCCCTAAATCTTCATTTTTAAGCTATTGTAAATGATATCTTTTTTAAAATTCTGGTTTCCAATTTTTATTGCTAGGATATAGAAATATGATATATTTTTATGTGTTGGCCTTACATTCTGCCATCTTGCCAAACTCACTTATTGATTATAGGTGATTTTGTGTGTGTGTGTGTGTGTGTGTGTGTGTGTGTGTAAATGAATTGGTTGGGCTTCTCTGTGAATAGGGACAGTTTTATTTTCTCCTTTTTAATTCATATGCTGTTTTGTTTTGTTGTTTTGTTTTCAAAATCATCGATAGTCCTGGCCAGTGTGGCTCACTGGGTTGAGTGTTGTCTCATGCACCGAGAAGACACCTTTTGAATCATTTACGTTTTGCTCCTGAATCTAAAATACAGAGGGTAGTACTGTTGACTCCAGGGACAACCAACTTTTGTAATATCACTATCTTATCGCCAATTATTAAAACTAGTCTTCCCTGTTGACACACTTTCCGTGATTGCTGCAATCAATATTTACGTTTCCCTACAGCTGCACCGTCAACCTGATCTCTTTCTTCTTCTGTTTTGCAGCCACACCCTAGAACAAGACAAGATCTACCAACCAGGTGAGCTAAGGCTTCTGTGCACTTCAGAACGACGTCAATCTCTAGGGGTTGGGGCGTTTCTGCTTCCTTTTCCTCCAGAAAGCTGTAAGGCAGCTGTCCCCCCTAATCCGTGGTTTCGCTTTCTGTGGTTTCAGTTGGCTGCCCTCAACTGTGGTCCAAAAACACTAAGGACAATTCCAGAAATGAAGTTTTACATTGCGTGCTGTTCCGAGTAACGTGATGAAATCTCCCGCCCTCCGCCTCCGTCCTGCCGAGTGCGTGATTCATCCCTTTGTCCGGCGTGTCTGCGCCGTCTGTGCTACCGGCCGTTAGTCAGTAGCTGTCTCCACTGTCAGATCGGCTGTCACAGTATCGCTGTGCTCGTTCCCAAGTCACCCCTGTTTTCCTTAATAATGGTCCCAAAGGGTAGGAGTAGTGAGGCTGGCTCGGAATGTGCCAAATTAAAAGTAGAACTGGGCCTTAGCCGGTTTGGCTCAGTGGGTAGAGCGGCGGCAGGCAGACCAAAGGGTCCTGGGTTCAGTTCTGGTCAAGGGCACGTACCTTGGTTGCAGGCTCCTCCTCAGCCCAGCCCGGCCCCGGGTTGGGGCACGTGTAAGAGGCAACCAATCGATGTGTCTCTCTCACATCAATGTTTCTCTCAGTCTTTCCCTCTCTCCCTAAAAATTAATGGAAAAATATCCTCGGGTGAGGATTCACAACAAATAAGATGAAAGTAGAATTGGAATATGCCAAAGACAGACTGTAAAGTGCTTCCTTTACGTGAGAAGGTAAGAATGTATAGGAAGAAGCAAAGTATATATAGAGTTTGCTACTATCCATGGTTTCAGGCATCCACTGCGGGTCTTGGAATGCACTCCCTGCGGATAAGGGGGGATGACTGTGGTTCAGACGGTAGCTGAATAGGCAGCCCATCTGAGATCCATGGGGAAGGCAGCCCAGGTCAGTAGGGTGCAAGCAGACAAAGGGGTGGTTTCCACCAGGAAGCCCCTCTCCGTCTGATGGGGGGAACTGATGAGAAGTCGGCGAGTCATTTCTTTTGTTTGATTTTTAAAAAATGATTTAAAAATGTTTCTAAGTATTCAGCTGAGGTATAAAGGGGTGTCTATGCAGCAGAATGGGAAATGAAATAATAAATGCAATCGAAGAGTTAAAGTTCGCATATGCTTTTATATGCCAGGCACGGCTCTAACCGCTGTACATGCATTAGCTCACTTGATTATGACAAAACCCCCAACAAGGCAGGCATCGCCGTCGTCGTCCGGGTTTTCCTGGGAAATGCTCACAGGAGGGGTGCAGAGTCCAGAAAGAGGCTTTCGCTTTTGTGGAACATACATCTGCTTGCTTAGATTTTTGTCATGAGTCTGCATTACTTTTATCATTGAAAAGTACTTTTTCTTCAAATACTCTCCAAGAAGAGGTCATTGCACTCACTGTAGAATTGTTAGGATGTGGAAACCAGCTCAGATGAGTAAAGGAAGACGAGCCGTCACCTCACCACACAGAGGACACAAGGATTTTGGTGTGTGCGGCCTCAGGCCTTTTCTTTGTCTAAATACGTCATTTGATGTTTATGAAAAAACTGGCTCGCGCTGTAATGCTGCTTTAAAAGCTGCTTTTTCAGCTGACGATTGGATTCCGTCACGGCCATCTTCCCGTGTCACGGGGCGGCCTTCGCCTGGTGCACAGCGTGGCCTTGGCCATGTTTTCGGGGGCCTCCTTTCGCTGTGGGAAGTAGGACAGGGGCAATTCATCCAGCTCTGCTGAATGTGGCAGAGGAGCCTGGTGGATAAATCAGCCCTATCTGGTTTTCTTGGCCGTGAATCCTTCAGGAAAGAATGTGAAGTATTTTCCCCACATCCTCCCAGCAGGGCGGCCAGAGCTCTGGCCCTGGAGGTCTAAGAGGAGGGAGCTGGTTCTCCACAGAGCAGCAGCCTCACCTGTGGGGCGTGGCTCCCGGGACTGCAGAAGAGGGTACTGCACGCCCTGCAGAAGTTGAGCTCCCACGGGAATGCAAGCATCTGCCCAGTTCACAGGACGCCAAAACCTGGTGAGGAGATGGCTGTGAGGAGACTGGAAAAAACACCCCTGGGTGGCCAGCTGCTGGGAGGGGCCCGTGTGCGTGGGCAGCTCAGCAGCTTGCCTGGAGAAGCGGTGCCCACACACAGGAAGGACCAGCATTCAACACGTGGCCATAACCGTGCAGCCATAACCATGGCCACCTCCACCAATGGCGGGCCAGCTGCCCCACTTCCACAAGATCCAGCCCTTTGTTTGGTTATCCAGGGATTTCTGGGTATTGTTTTGCTTTTAAATATATATTTTTATTGATTTCAGAGAGGAAGGGAGAGGGCGAGAGAGAGAGAAACATCAATGATGAGAGAGAAGCATTGATCGGCTGCCTCCTGCACGCCCCTACAGGGGATGGAGCCTGCAACCCGGGCATGTGCCCTGACGGGGATCGAGCCGTGACCTCCTGGTTCCTAGGTTGACACTCAACCACTGAGCCACGCGGGTCGGGCTCTGGGGGTTTTGTTTGTTTGTGAAATTCAATGAGCCAAAGGAGGAAGCCCTAATGATGATATGAAACTTCTCGCCAGCATGGAAAAACAGAGAATATCGGCATTTCTTCCCCTCTGAGTGACATGGAGCTGTTCCTTCCTCAGATGCAGCACCTCGAGGGACATTCGTGCGGCTCAGTGTCTTCCTCCTGGATCGCTGGCTGTCGGTTCCCGGCGTCTTCTATGCCCTTCAGGGTGACCGGCTCCACTGGCTCGGCCAGCTCCGCGGATAAGGGGCCTGACCTGGGCCAAGGCAGATCCTGTGCCCTAACCGGTTTGGCTCAGTGGATAGAGCGTCGGCCTGCGGACTCAAGGGTCCCGGGTTCGATTCCGGTCAAGGGCATGTACCTTGGTTGCGGGCACATCCCCAGTGGGGAGTGTGCAGGAGGCAGCTGATCGATGTTTCTCTCTCATTGATGTTTCTAACTCTCTATCCCTCTCCCTTCCTCTCTGTAAAAAATCAATAAAATATATTTAAAAAAAAAAAGACAGATCCTGGCTCTGGCCCTGAGTCACTAACCACTCATCACTCACCTGAATCACTAATGTCCTCTGTGGCTCCCAGCAAGTCTCTTCAGCCTCTGTGCCTCCCTGCTCCGGTCTGCGAACCTGTAGGTCTGTGGACCTGTAGGTCTTTGCCCTGGGAGCCCTTGGCCTGTCGGAAGTCTAGACGAAGTCCCTGGCACCTTCGATGACTTATCCACGGAAAGAGTGAGTAGGTCACTATTTCCCCGTGTGCACCAGTCAAACCAGACTGCAGGAACGTTCCAGAACATGCTCGCACCTCCATGGTTTTGCTCTCGCTGTTCCCCTACAGTGAGTGCCCCTCGTTTCTGCCTCTTGACATCCTAATGGTCCTTTAAGCTTCAACAGTCACCACACTCCTCACGGCTGCCATCCTCCCCTGGGAAGCCGGCTCTCTCTCTTCTTCCACGGGCGGCAGCCGTCACATGCCTTTGATGGAGGCAGCGATCAGGGGACACGTTGCAAGCTCCCTGGAGCCGCAGGCTGGGCCTCGTTCATCTCTGCGTCCCCCACAGGACCCAGCCCAGGATTCTGCAAGTTCACGTGCAGCCCAACGTTAGTGGGACTGAAAGTGGGCCCTGGGCCTCTGCTGGGATGGAGCCTCCTCAGGCCCTGCAGCCTGAGGCGGGTGCCGGGAGTGCCGGCTGGGCGACTTCAGTGACTGGGACTCTCTACCCTCCTCCTCGCCGGCCCCTCCTCCTCGCCCGGCCCCTCCCCCTCCCCCAGCCCCTCCAGGAGCAGGAAACACTGTGTACTCGGGACTCTCTTCCATCAGACTTGGGCCCCTGAGGATCCTAGCCCCACCCACTCCGTCCCTGGGTCCCTCCAAAGAGGGCAGAGGCCCAAGTGGTCTGCAGGAAAGGGTCAGAGGGGCCGTGGGAGGGGCCAGCACCCCAGCTCCTGGTCTCTGGCTTGCCCCCTTCCCCCCAGTCCCCTGTGCTTGCTCTGGTTCTAAACCATGGCACTGCCCCTTGGTCTGGGCGGTTTGGAGTATGGATGGGGCGTGAGCTCGTGCTGCAGGCTGAGCCTCCCTCACTGCTGCAGAACGGGACAGCCCTGAGGGTGGGGATGAGGGAGCTTAACTCTTTTCTGGGGGAAGAGGCCAGGCTGGGATGGGGTCAGGTGCTGGGAGCCTTCAGCCCTCGCCCGGCTGCCCGGGCAGAAGCCCTATGCGTCCTGGAGCAGAAGGGCAGTTCCAGGGTTGGACAGACAGGCAGGGGGACAGCCTCGGGAACCCAGGGTGGCATGGGGAGGCCTGGGAGGGTGAAATGGTTAATGGCTTGTTGAAAAACAAGGAGAGTCCCTCCTCCAGGGGCCCAGCTGGCTGCAAAGTCAGGAACAGAGGCTCCAGGGGTGATGCAATGGGACCCGCCCTGCACACCAGAGAGGGTGAGGAGGCGGCTCCGCCCAGCAGCCGCTGCACAGCCAGTGGTGGACCACTCGCCTCCAGCCCCCAGGCCAGATGCAGAGCAGGGACTTGGGGGCAAAGTGGGCAAAACTGGCCACCCCAGACTCAGGAAGTTGCCGCTTCTGCCTGTCCCACTTCATGTGGCCCTGGTGGCTTTGCAGTCCACAGGGTGCCTCATCAGCGCAGCCAACCCCCACCTCTCCACTTCCAGGACCCGTTCCAGCCCCGGGCAGGTGGCAGGCAGGGGCGGAGAGGCCGGGCCTGTGAGAGGCAGACAGGTCTTGACGCACCTGATCCCGACACCTGGCACCTCCACTCTCCATTGTCTTGGCACAGGGTACCTGCCGGGATCACAGTGTCCCAGACACTTGCAAAGGACGAAGGGCCGTCCCAAGGGTGGGCAGGCTGATCCGAACTCGAGATGGGTGGTGTCCCCGCTTCAGGGTCTGGCACAGTCTCAGGGGCCGGGAGAGGGTGCCATGTATTCCTGAGCAAGACTTTGCAGGGTGGGGGCCCAGGAGGGAGGAGGGAGAGCCCCTCTCTGAGAAGGCGTGAGGGGGCCCAGATTTTGTGACAAAGTCCTGCCCCCGACTCGAAGCCGCACGAGGACAGGAGCGGTGTCTCTCTTGTTGACCGCAGGCTCCCTGGCGCCCAGCACAGCTCCTGGCAAGAAGCCTGCGCTGAATAAGTAACTGACCGCAGAGAGCGGGCGGGCTGAAGTCCAAGTCGGTTTTACAATTCCTGCAGTCCGCCGTTGGCCAGCCCCTCCACCCGCACACCCACACTCACTCACCCACACACTCACAGGCACAGGAAAACACGCAATGGAGCACAGAGTCATCAGAAGAAGAGTGCCTTGAATGGTTGTTTACAGTTACTGGATGCTTCTCAGCCTTCACTTGCTCGGGCTGCAGCGGGTACATCAGGATTTCTGGTGCAAACCAGCAAAAAGCATGCGGGATGCTCGAGGGGCTGCTGGACGCAAAGGGGCTGCTGGACACAAAGGGGCTGCTGGACGCGAAGGGGCTGCTGGACGTGAAGTCGCCAGACGGGGCTAGGCCGGGGCCAGC